AAAACCGTTGGGAAAATCCGAAAAGGGTAAGAAAATAAGAGTATTAGGTGTGCTCACTGAGTCTCCCTATTCCTTGTTATGTAATTGGACACTGGTCATCATCCTACTTTACTTTATAAGGGGGGCCTTAAGCGTGTTTTTTTTTCTATGAAGCTACAAAAAGAAATTTTGTCCCGGCCCGGCCCGTCACAACTATGGGGAAAACAGCAGTTGATCCATAGCAGAAGAGCCAAAAATAGCAGTTGAGACAGTAGCAGTTACAACATAGCAGTTCATCACCCCCATAGCAGTTGAGTATTTGCCCTATCCCCCTCGATGCCCTTATATTAAAGGATTTCCAGACAAATCCGAAGAGAGACGGGTTACTGTAACAGTTCTGGGGAATGATGTGATATGGGCACAGAATTTGTTTCATGGTGAGTTTTTGAAAATTTCCAAAAATTCGAAAAAAAAAATTTCAAATTCCAGACAAAATAGGAAAATCCAATTATTTCTCAAAATTCAACGACACAGATTCCATATTTTCCAAAGATTCTCCAGATTATACAGTAAGATTTCTTCGAATTCTCTCTAATAAAAGGGCACCCCCTCTCAGGTCCTTCTAACCCTCGGCCTCCACCCTATCGATGATTTAGCATTGACCAGAAGTTTCTGTGATGTTTTCCTGCTAACATCTCCAACAAGTTCCTTCGGTTGGTGGATGGCTTATCTAGGCAAGGACACTGCAGAAGTTTATTATCGGTGAGGGAAACTGCGCTCCATTGAACTTTCCTTTATCTTTTTTCTGTGTTTCAGTGATCCAAAAGAAGCTCCCGATGTGATGTTCTCCGAGATGCGGCAAACCGATTATTACCCGAGTTCGTGGAATAAACTGAGAAGTTCTAGAATTGGGATTTAATAAATTATTTTGTCATTCCTTTTTTATTAATCTAAAACTGAAGGAAGAGAGGCTAGATCAGCACAGGACATTGATGGGAACATGAAGACGAGAGGTACTGTAAAAAAGGGTAAAAAAAACATGTAAATAAAAAACATCGCTGGGTAAAAAGTGCATAAAAAACAAGGGAGAAAAAGGGGGAGCCTGGGGATTTCCATTCCAAATTCTCATATCAAACAGATCACAATAAATTAATAAAGTGCAAGTAAAACATATTCTATACACGGAACTCATTCAAAGTGTATTTGCCTAATCCAGTTTTCACTTGTGGCGGTAGCCCTCGACGACCTTGTTTCGAAGCATAGGATCGAGGAGACGGAGCACTCCAGTCGTCATTTCCATTGGTATCATCATCAAAATCCACACGAGACGCCGACAGAATTTCTCCGGGTTTCAGGTTATCGAAAAGCGACATTTGGAATCCACCCTGCTCCGCCCCACCATATCCATTAGACGTTCGAGACGGCGGTTTTCGAAAAGCTAATGATGATCCTCTGGCAGCGGCTGCAAAGGTACTCATTCCATGTGCTCCCAGTCCACGTGGTTTCGGAGGTTCTGGTTCTTTAGATTTCGCCAATTTTTCCAACGATCTTTGATATTCTCTTGCTCCAAATCCAGATAGAACAACTGGCTTAGTGGGAGTAGAAAAGTTGTTTGGAGCCGCCGGTGCCATCGGAGACTTCTCGCGGGGTTTGGTGCCGAGTTCCGGATTTACTGAAATTTCGAAATTATATGATAAAAATTCAGAAGGATTCTTACGATTTCTAGATTCAAATTGAGCATTTCTGTTGAGCTGTTCACGAGATTTTTCTGATTTTTCACGATTTTTTGGAGCCTCTCTGGATTTGTCGCGATTTTTGAATCCAGAATCCTGGACAGTTACTCTCGCGAATCTCGGAGCAATGATAGACTCATCCCACATCTCAGGAGCTCTCGGAGCACTTTGTCTAACAGTCACTGGCTCATCCCACGGATCGGCGATTTGTCTGGAGGGAGCTTGTGGAGTAGAAGGGACTGTTCTAGATGGCTGGTCCCATGGATCGGTTTTTGGAGCAGCTCGTGCTGGAGCACTTTGTCTAACAGTCACTGGCTCATCCCACGGATCGGCGACTTGTCTGGAAGGAGCTTGTGGTCTAGGAGGGGCAGTTCTAGATGGCTGGTCCCATGGATCGATTTTTGGAGCAGCTCTTGCTGGAGCAGTTTGTCTGACTGGCTCATTCCATGGATCGGCATTTGGAGGAGCTTGTCTCAGCGGCTGGTCCCAAGGATCAGATTCTGGAGCAGTTTT